CCCCTAAGTGGGGTGTCATGATTTCCTGTTCCAGAGTAGGTAGTTTGACAGAGAGCTAGCTCCATGCCTACCATACTCAATCTTACTAGTTCTTCTGACAGGTGGCACAATCCACTTACCCCACAGAGAGAGACAAAAAATAAAGAGAAGACTCCTAAAATTACCAGTCCCACAGGGATGGATCCCAATGCAAGCAAAGTATATGAAACCTAAGAAGTCAAATGAATTATTTTAAGAACATTGAACGATTTTAAGAAGCATATGAAATAAACTGAAAGAGTTCAAAGAGAATAAAACAGAACCTTGAAATGGGGACATCAACACAAGTCGTGAAAGGGAGATCCAAAGGGAGATCATTGTTACAGAAATGCTAAAAACCTCAAGTTGAAACTTGGCAAGTGAGAATTAAACTTAATTAAACTAACAACTCAGTGGAAAGCATTAGAAATCGAATTGTTCGTGTGGAAGACAGGCATTGGGAATGAGGTAGACAAATTAGATAATTCAGCCAACAGTAAAGATAAAATAATAATGTTAATAAACTCACATTTCCAATCAAAAGACAAGGACTAGTAGTTAGAGTTAAAACAGGATCCATGTATTTGTTGCCTTCAATAAACTCACCTCACTGGCAAAGACAGACACAGACGTAGCATAAAAGGATGGAAAAGGCTGTTCTAAGCAAATAAAACTAGAAAAATGCATGTGTAGCCATGTTAGTATCTAATGAATTACTGAATCAGCAGGGATTAAGAATATCACTTCATATTGGTTAAAAATGCAATTTAAAAAGAGAACAAACTAATTCTAAACATATACACACCAAGCATTGAGATATCTAATTTTACAAAACAAACACTATTGAATATAAAAGTCAGAGGGCCCATAGAGTTGGCTCAGTGATTAAGAGTCCTTGTTTATGAGTTCAATTCCCAGTACTCATATTGAGTACTGGGAATATTCATATTCAATTCCCATACTCACAATTGTCTGTAACTCCAGATCCAGGAGATCTGACACCTTCTTCTGGTGTCCTTTAGTACCTACACACGTGTGTGTACATATGCATGCATGTGCACACACATATACAACATAAAAAAGTAAAGTAAATCTTAGATAATAAGTAAATACTATTGACCTCGACAGGTAGTACAAAATAAAGAAAAGCTTACATCTCTTCCTAAAATCTAGAATAAGACAAAGGTGACCGTTCTCTCTACATATATTTGATACAGTGCTTGAAGTCTTTAGCTAGAACAGTAAGACAGGAAAAGGAAATAAAAGGGCATGAATTGGAAAAGAATATAATTATTCCTATTCACAGATGATTTGATCCTACACATAAGAGACCCTACAAATTCTACCAAAAATGAGACTGGAGGATAGAGTGGAAATAGCTAGGAAGGGGAGGAAAGGGAGGAGCAGGACTGACTTTGTTGAAAGTAAAGGATACACCTCCATGAAAATCTCCATGCAAGCCCATCACTACATGCCATGAGTATGCACCGATAAAACATAGAGCAGGAAAATAGACAGAGAAAAGTGCACAGCACAATGCCGGATCCACGAGCTCAGACAAGGCAAGCATTGTAGCACAGCTTCTCCTTATTGTTGCCACTGTTCTGTTTTAATTTTTTTTATTATGATCAAATGAACAAAAATCGAATAATTTTTAATTCATGTTTCACTCTTGAAATAAAAAATTCCGGATGCATGTTTCTGATGTTAGACACGCCCATATTTTTGGACCACCATCCTCACATTAGTCACTAATTAAGGCTTTCTTAATGTCCTACAGGGTTGTCTACAGCAATATCCTATGAAGGCCCTTTCTCAATTGAGGCTCCCTCCTCTCTGGTGACTCCAGCTTATGTCAAGTTGACATAAAACTAGCTGGAACATGTATATATTGCATACTGAACATATGTCAGATGGTGAGCTTGTTTCAAACAGGTGCCAGGGCCCCAGATTTCTGATGTAGCAAGTTTGGACGAACACCATGAAATTGTATTTTCAACAGGCTCCTTGATGGTACAGTGGCTTCTGATAGTCTGAAGAGTGAACTCTGAGAACCACTGTCATGGACTAATAATCCTACTGGGCGTGTGTGTGTGTGTGTGTGTGTGTGTGTGTGTATGTGTGTGTCCTACTAAGGGTGTGTATAGACACATGGGGGAACACGTGTTTACAGCAGCAATTTACCAGTGACTGTGTCACTCAGGAAAATACATTAAGCAGCTTCTATGTGGCTAGAGTTGTAGGTGCTTTGTTTCTAGACTTTTTTTCAGTGCTGACAAACAGTCCACATTGTCACCATTTGTGCCTGAAGGAGGATGAACATGGCACAGCCAGGGAAAGGCTCTACTCTCAGGTTTTACCCACCTTACATGTATTTAGCTTCCATCTGTCTTATAGTAGCTTTCTAATAAATGTTTGTTGAGGAAATCTGAGATCCACATAGACCAGGTACAGATGATAAAAATGTGCTTGTTTCTTGAAAAGGAGTAGCACACCCAGGTGATGAGAAATTGTACTGAAGGCTCTTTATTCATCTAAAATGTAAATATATACTCATATTCTGTAATATAAATAAACATTTGCTCTCTCCAAGCCACATCCTACCCACTGCCCTTTGCTATTGTGGCATGTAATTCGGATGGGGAGGATGGATCAAAGGCTTAAAACTTAGCAGAGCATAAAAGTAACATTTGCTTGATTTCTTACTGCTTGTGGAATCATTGTCTGTGCTCGGCTAGGAATCTGTGGATCAGCCTCTCACCATGGTTTGTTTCTAGGCAAGCATTTGAGATTGAAAACCAGTTCCACAAGTAATACTTAAGCACACTGAATAATTAAATGAGCACAACTCAAAACACATGCCCAAAATGTTTCCATGAAATGACCCAATCCTCCATAGTAGAGAAACTGCCAGCACCGGCCCTGAAGACACCGAAGGCATTCACTTCCATATCTCCTTTTACTGTCTGATGGGTACTTTGCAGTTAAGAGTCTACAGGTCCTGGTTCATCTATCTGCCTCCATCATTTTCCTCAGGGCATTTATAAGACCAGTTTAACAGTATGGAGCCTGGGGCAGGATAGGAAAAGGAACTGTATCTATTCAAGATGTATTGAAAGATCACTGAAATGAAAGATTTGGGTAAACAAGTTTTAAAAATGACCATGACCAAAAAAAAAAATGACCATTTTTGTCCTTTGATTAGCAGAAGGGGATAGATTCAACAGATGGAATAAAAGCCACCCCACACCCAACAGCACACACAAGGCAAGCTTGACACCAGATTCCTCTCTCTGCTGTGCAGGGAAGCTTCAGCCCAGTAACCGTCAGGCTGAGCCTCATCCTGGGTGTTGATCAGCAGGGACAATGTTAGAGACACAGAGGAATGAGTTCTGACCTCCTATTCCTAGAAATATGAGTCTTGTTAGCAGTATTGTTTCTGTTTTGTATATTGTATATCCAAGTAGCTCTAGAAAAGAGTTTGACTTCTTGCTACAGTGATTAAAGTCTGGGTTAATGGACACACTAAATACCGTGTGTGTGTGTGTGTGTGTGTGTGTGTGTGTAGAGGCCAGAAGACAACCTGGAATGTCATTCTGGCAACTGTCCAGTCTATGTCGTTTATTTGTTTCGGTTTTGACTTGGGGTATGCTCTTTCTCTAAAGACAGGTTCTCTCTGGCTGGGACTCACTACGTAGACTGGACTGACTGATTGCAGAGCCCAAAGAGCCTCCTTGCTCTGCCTCCACAGCACTTGGATTACTGTTGTTTAGCACCACACTCACTTCTTTTAGATTCGTCCTGAGGATCAAACCCAGGTCCTTATGCTTTCAACGAAGTAATACACTGACTGAGCCATCTCCCCAGCCCAAGACACAAATGTGAAAACAACAGTGTGTGTTGTTTATAAGCAAGACTATTGTCTATCAACTAAAAGGAAACAAAACTTAAAAAGTAACACATAGACCCAAAAGCTAAATCAAAATGAAACATTCACTTTTCTGAAAGTCTAATAGTTAAGGCCCTTTGACCTAGTGGAGGATTAGCCTAACCCGTGGTTCTTGGTATCATGTTTAAGCCCCTGTTGCTGCTTTTCCCTGTGATGATGGAATTCTTGCCTAAAGAGAGAAAAGCTGATGGGGGCTGCTTTTGCCACTTGATCACCCTCACTCTTCTCATTTCCTCTGATGTCCCTGCCTCCCATTCTCCTCACCCCAACCTGAGCTGCTTCTTGGGCAACTGAAGACTCTCAAGCTTACAGGGTACTTACAGTGATTGCCTCGCATAGCTACAGTATTGTAAGAAATTCTGAAGTGGAGTATGAAGAAAATCATATCCTTGGAATACATTGGTGTAGCTAGACTTTCTGGAATGGAAAGGTTTCTAAAGTGCAGACCCGGGAACTTGGGTTTTTCTTGCCTCTAGCCCTTCTGCAATCTGTAGTCAGTGACTTTGAGCTCTCCTTAAATATCTCAGTACCTAAAAGGGACAAAAGTGAAACACGACAATATTCTTAACAAGCTTAATATGTACTTAAATTTTATGGCAATTTAATAGATTTTATGCCTTTTTTTTCTCCCAAAGGCTATAGCTTCTGGCTGAAACTCAATCCATATCCCTTTTAGAAAAAGTACAAGGATTATTTATTAAGAAAACAGAGGGCTTTGAACTTTTAATAAAGAAAAATAAGACACTTTACCTGAGCAAATTTCAAATGGATCCATTTAAAATGAATTAAGTGGCACTTAACTGGTTTGCAAATTGGGATCTATTTATCTCACTAAAATGATTAAAGTCTTGATTTATCCCTAAAATTAGCTTTATTATTGCATTTAATTACACTAAAAGATTGTTAAGGACTTGTAGGTTCTCTCTGTCCCTTTAAATTGTACTTTATTCAGACAATAATTGAATATCAGATAGGATAAATTGATTTTTTCCAAAGAATTATGTTTCTAATATTTTCCTCCTTTTTATCGCAGGAACTGAAACAAGTTGAAGAAACAAAAGAAGATCCTGAGAATAGATTATCTGAAATTTCCCTGGAGTCATTCAATAAATTTAACAGCAATACTGTGATTTTATTAGAAAAAGAGAAGTCTCCAAGTGAGGTTGAAGGACAAAAGGAAGAGACAGGCAAAAAGACAGAAATATCTTTGAGTAGCTCAGATAGGCCTGGGGCGGACCACGTGGAGTCTCTGAGCGACTCTCTGTATGACAGCTTCTCCTCTTGTGCAAGTCAAGCTTCCAATGACATCTAAGGAGGCACCACTCAGTGAACCTCATGCCTGGTACACTAGGAAGACAGACTCTGGAGCCGGGGAAGCAGGAGGACTAACTCCAGAGGAGCTGATAGCAGCCAGTACGCCGGAGTTTACTTCTCTCACGGACTGATAAAGAGGATTAAAAAGCAAAATATGATGGAGAAGTCTCAATGTTTGCACTTTTTTGAGTTTTTGTATAAAAGCTGTACATTTTTGGGGGAAGAGAAATTATATTTGTAGGGGGAGAAAGATAGCAATAAAAAGAGTTGTCGCCATGCTCTTGAGACGATACATTAAGTTCTAGAAGTCGATAATATATTTTTTAAAAAACCCAACTAAAGATTTTGTGAACCTAATCACCTTGGTCCTCAAGTCATTTGTGCATATACTGTGTCAATCTAAGTGTGAGGCAGGCAGAAAAGCCAGAGGGGTTGAGTCATCTCTGTTTCTCAAAGTTCTCTCTCTCTCTCTCTCTCTCTCTCTCTCTCTCTCTCTCTCTCTCTCTCTCTCATAGTTTGAAGGGTGGTCCAATTTCCACATAATCTCGAGGAAAACTAAAGTTGTGATGATATAGGTATTCTGTTGAAGAGTTAAGAAGCGTGGGCACTGATTAGGTGCCACCGGATGGTGCTGATGCGGAAGGGAGCAGATCTTACCAGGCTTCACTCCAAACCTCTTCCATCCTCTCCATTGTATTTCTCACAATTCCAAGTGTTTGTTGTTGTTGTTTAATCTCCCTGCTTTTTTAGTTATTATTAAAAACCTGGGTACTCTATTTGCCATATCTACTTTATAAAAATAAATGAATGGTTGGTGCTATGAAACTTTCTTACTTTTTAATATCCTTTTTTCTATTAAAGACTGTTTATATGGGAGGATAAATTCTATTTTAAAGGTTATGTGTATTTTTTCTAGACGTGAACTATTTATAATTCCTTCTGTACAGAAGCCTGCAGACCAGGCAGGGTAGAGCTATGTTTAGGATTTGTGTGGTCACCTTAGCACACTTGTATCTTTACAGAGTATTGTATGACCAGTGTTATTGTATTTGTGCAATTTGTTGTATTTGGATTTCATTACCTTAAATTCAAGCTTCGTAAAGCATCCTTGTCTTTCGGACTTTAAAAATCCTTTTGTTTCATTTCATTTCATTTCGGAATAAACGTCTTATCACAATTACACCCTCTAAAAGCAGAAAAGAACTTTGTTCAAGGAGCGATTGGTCCCGTGATTATTTTAATCGCGTCTCATGCTTACTCTGTGAAGAGGTTTCCCTGAAGGAATAAATAAGCTGATCCTTTTGCTACTGTAGTAGCAATTCGAGCTTTTGTTAAGATCCACACTATGGACAAGCGAGTAATGGTCAAAGCATCCTTGTCTCCCCAAGGAGTTAACCAGCTAGAAATGAAGGAAAGGGGGTTGGGGAGAATGAGCCCAAGGCAGCTATGGACCGATCTCTGCAAAGGGAATTAGAAGAAAGTCATTTATGCCTCTTCCAAACCTGCTCTGCTGGCAGGGTAGGGAAATAAATGATCACATTCCAGCTGAGAGACACTTCCCCTCGGGAGACCTTATAGGAGAGGGGTAAAGCTTAGCCACGGGTTTCCACTGAGGCTCCCAAATCCCAAATCAGAGGTGGGGGTGGGTGGAAACGTGCGGGGGTTGTGGGCGGGGGCACCAAGAGCTTCAGCTGCCAGCTCTTTGCACAGCGCAGCCTTCCACAAAGCTCCACAGAGAAGGAAAAATAGCACCGTGGTGTCCCTGGAATATGCAAGGTGGGTCGCTTAGAATCGTCAGAAAGGGGAGTAGTAGAGGAGGGAAGAAATCTATGGCCAAGTGGCCATGCTTTCGCTTTGCTAAGAATGTATACTCATAGCTGGTGGCTTGGGGGAGCAGTCAGCCCCATTTGCTTTTCAATGAGAGCACAGATCCCGGTGTCCGTTCCCCATGTAGCTTTATTTCTGGGCTAGGTTGAGTCAGTGCATCCCCCAAAGGTGCATGCAAGCAGATGAGGAGAGGATGGTTGGGCCAACCGAGCCAGTTGCGGTAGGGTCACCATCATACTCGCAGGTATTCTGCCGGAAGTCCCAGGAGACTGGTGAGGTGGATTTCTCTCAGGAAGAGGCGCGGCTGCGTACACCCCAGGGAACTTCCTACGGTGCAACTTTGCCAGGTGCCTGAAAACACCCCTTCCCCTTATCCTAGGCAGTCACCCAGAGGCCCGGAGGGCGGCGAGTGGTAGGAGACGCCTGGCTGGGTGGGCAAGACCCAGTTGCAGGGGTACTGGTTAGCACGGGAAGGGAACAGAGTACTTGGAAGCGAAGGATATCGGAGCCCAGCACTCGGGTCTCCGAGTTCGCATAGGACAGGTCCTGATGGCACCTGCTGCGCCCTAGTCACCTCCGAATTCCTAACCGCTGTCAACACTACTCCGGAGCCCAGCAGGCGCTCCTTTCCAAGGAACTAGAGGAGGTAGGCTAAAAGGGTGGCAGAAAGGGGTGGGGACAGTAGAGAGACAGTCCCAGCCTCCCCCTCCCTCCACCCCCCACCACAACTCAGCAGCCGTCACGTGGTACCCGAAGTGGGAGGGGTGGGGGCAGAAGAGGCGAGACTTTTTTGGGTGCTCTGGATCGCCAGTAGTTCTTCAAGCCTCAGCAGCCAACTCCTCCGGAGGCGCAGCGCTCCGCCTCAGGGAGCGCGAACCAGAGGAGCCTGGGACCACCTTCTGGAAGCCCCGGGCGCGGGCGATGCGGGCGCCGCGGGCGACACCTGCGGCTCCTCTCGGTGGCAGCCGTCGCCTGGGCGGCAGCAGCGCTAGCCTCGGCAGCCTCGGCAGCTACAGTCGCCGCGGCCGGAACAGCCTCCGCTGCGGTCGCGGTCTCTGATGCTCTTTCCCGCTCCCGGCCCTGCCGATCCGGGAGGATGTGGGTTCTCGGCATCGCAGCAACTTTTTGCGGATTGTTCTGGCTTCCAGGTAAGATGAAGAGGCCAGCTGCCTGGCCAGACACGCTCTTGCCATCTCGCCCTGCTTCCCTGCTCTAAGCCCCAGTGCGCCCAGCTGTGGTTCACGCAGCGCTGGGGCTACCCAGCGGGAGTTTGGAGCTGGAAACTGAGACCAAAGGAGCTAGACTGGGACGCTCTCCAAGTCCCGCGCTGCAGGAGAGCGGAGAACGGCAGATTGGCGCGACTCTAGGCTGCAGCTGCGTGGGGTACAGTCGGAGATGGAGAGCTGGGAGTGGGGAGGGTCCTTGAGTTGGGCGAGACAGGAAAAGGGGCGACAAGCCTCCAACCTAGTCAAGTTATCAAGTGTTTGTGGCCACCCAAGGGAGCGGCGACGCTGACAGGTGAGCGACTCGCCGGACAATCTGCTGCTAGGGGCGGGGGAGCTGCCCTCCCGGGCTGAGTTAGCTAGCTGTGCTTTTCCTTCCTGCGATCGGTAGGGTGCTAGAAAGGGGCATGCGACCCAAAGAGAAGCTCTCAGATCAGAGAAGAGCAACTAGGAAGATATGGTAAGTAACTGCTCCTGATCGCGGACTCTAAGCTATCAGATTTTTTTCCCCCAACAGCCATGTTTTTCAAAGAGGGGGTTAAAAAGGCAAGTCTAAAAGGGCTGCAGTGTAGAGGTCCCTGGGAGGGCGCGCACAGCCAACACACGCTCTCACACTATGTCCTCTCCAACCCTTAGCAGCAGCTGCTCCTGTCACTGATCACAAGAAGGGATCCTGAGCAGGAATACTTAGCATCCAGCGCCTCCTCCCAGGTTGCTGGGTGGTCGCTAGGAAGCATCAGAGCCTCAGCTCATGAATGCTGACGAGATTAAATAAATAAAACCGAAAAGGCGTCAGCCAATGCAATTATGAACGGTGCCAAAATAGTAATTAAGCAATTTATAATCAATTAGCAATTAGGCTCAGACAGGAGCTCAAGCTTGTACCCCACTACTTTGATCTGGGATTTGAACTCAAACCTGTCTCTTTGCGACTTCTTGCGGTAAGCCCTGAGGGGTGTTGCAGAAGCTGGAGTTGTTTGTGTCTAGAGAACTGTAGGGTCTCTGGCAGGGCTTTATCCTCCTAGACCCTGGGAACTGATGCCGCCGCCCCCTGCTGGCTTCAGGCGCCTCCAGCCCTACTGAACATCAGGACGCAGAGACCAGAAGCCCTTGTTGTCCGGGATAGAACACGGTGATACTGGCCAGCCAGGTTGTACTCTATGCATGCCAGATCTTAACCAGTACTTCTGAACCCCACTGCATCTGTCCCACAGGATTGGCGCTGCAAATTCAGTGCTACCAGTGTGAAGAATTCCAGCTGAACAACGATTGCTCGTCCCCTGAGTTCATCGTAAATTGTACCGTGAACGTTCAAGACATGTGTCAGAAAGAAGTGATGGAACAAAGTGCGGGTAAGCTACTCTTCCCCTTCCAACCCCTATCCAGGGCTGGGAAAGAAGGATGTTAAATTACAGGAAAAGACCCTGACTGATGTAACACAGGCACACAAACACACACACACACACATACACACATACACACACACACGTTAGCACAGATTTACTTCTTACAGTTCTGGGAAAATGAAGAGTTAGAAGTTCCTTTAACCTTATTAGAGTTAATTGCCAGGGCTTCTTCCCAAGGGACTCCTGAAAAGAAGTTATTGCAAATCAGTAGCTTTCCTTTATTGTCATTTTTTTTATTTACGCTTTCACCTTCCTGGACTAGAAAACTGATCAGGGTGTTGAAAACAATATATGGATAACTACCCCAGCTTCAGCAGCTCAACAGTAGCCTGTGAGCAATGTCAGACTGAAATATGAAGCTACTTGAAGTTCCCAGAGGTCAGAACTTGAAAAATGTGTTTTGTCATAGCGCCACACCATATTTCTTTGAAGAACGCTATAGGATCTTTATTTAATTTTAGACCTAATGCATCAAATTCCAAGCACAAATTGCCAAGATCTTCCACAGGAAGAAAACCACCACCACCCCGTAGCCCCGCCCCGCACCATAGCAGTTTAGCTACTGGCTAGCTGAGCAAGGACCCTGGATGTTATACAGCTGAAGAAGGGAGTTAGCTGGAACCGACTTCACTCGAGCTAGTAAGTCTTTTGAAAGGTATCCCACCCACACAGGAGTTAAAATTAAAAACTCAGCCCCAAAGTGGAACCAGAGCTTTGAGAAAATAAATGAGCTATGCCTTCAATTCCAAGGTCAAATAGAGACTTGGCTGTTTAAAGGTTGCTGAAAGCAAGGGAAAGAAATACCATCTTGGAATGAATGACACTGGGTGAGCCTTGATCCTTTCTAGTCCAACAAGGTACCCATAAAGCTCCATGGATCATTAGAACAATTGATTCCCCTTAACTCTCTGACAGAACAACAGTGGATAGAAGCTAACACTGAAGACAGAACCATGGAGAAGCAGTTTCTTTATGTTTAGGGAATAAAGTACATTGTTGTTAACCTCTTGGTTTCTTAAGGACCTTATCTGCCAGCTATCTGTAGCACTGAGCTACGATATGAGGGTGTGCATGTGTTATTTTTGCATGTGTATTGTGTGTGTGTGTGTGGTATTCGTGTATGTATGTATGTATGTATGCATGCAAACATTCACATTTGTTGGTACATGAGTATATGTAGGTATATGTTATGTATACATGGTATCCGTGCCACTATAGATGCATGTTTACATGAATGGAGACAAGAGGTTGATATCCGTGTGTCTTCCTTCATGGTATACATTGAGGTAGAGTCTTTTACTTGAACCCAGAGCTCACCAATTCTAACTAGACAACTTGGTGCAAAGATCTCAGGTCTCTGGCTCCAAAAGCTGGGCTTCCAAGCAGGCATCACTTCATCTGCCCTGCTGACATTTTATGTATGCTTGGCATCCAGACTCTAGTCCTCACACTTACACGAAAGCACTTCTCTTGCTGCGCCATCTCTCCAGACCCTTTGTATGTGGCTGTTCTTTGTAGTACATTATTGGCTGAAGTGTATTTTAAAAATGCTATTCTGGGAAGTCTGAGATGTAACTGTTCTCAAGCATAATGTATCCTTCAAAACCTAGCAAGCATTGTTGTAGCATCTGGCATTCCTGTTATTTAAAGCAGCAGGACAACACAAAACTTAATGGTGATGCTGCAACAAAGATGGATGTGTGAAAGGTTTTGATGAGTGATTTTCTTTGCACTATGTTTTAACTGAGCCAAACATCTTCT